GCTATACCCCGCAACGCGAGGGTGCCTACGAGCCTTATTCGCACGCTCGCGCCTAAGCTACCACTGATGGTTTCCACGGGGACGAAGCGACTCACACATTGTGGGTTATGGATTGCCATGATTCGGCGGCGCTGATTTTTGGGAGGGTCTTTTTTTCGCCCGTTTCGGGTTGATTTTCACCACAACAGTTACTGCATTGATACGGCGTTGGCGGGGTTTCCGGGTAATGGGGGAAAGTCCCCTATTTTGGGGGCTGAAGCCAAAAGACGGCTGGGCGACGAGTTCGGGACGATACCCAGCCTTGGGTTTACGGATGATTTAGAACAGGCTGGATAAAGGGGTACCTTATCTTCTAACGCTGAATGACTAGTAAATTTTTCTCACATATTGCGATCCTGTGACGATGCGCTTTTCCCATTCACAACTCCCTCGGGCACGTCAGGCTCCGAATGGCTGAGATCCGGACTCGCACTGCCTGCTGACAACCTGACCGGACGCAGTGTGGGGAAGGATCACTAGGTTTTCAGCCCCCGGGTGCCAGGCAGGCCGGCTCGGCCTTGACCCCCGGCCAAGAGCGAACTATTTGCGAGAAATGGGTAATGGGCGGACAAAACCTGACCGGACAGCCGCACAGTGCAGGGTAATATCTCTGTTTGTGATTTGATGACGACCGAAGGTGATAAGCACTCGGTGTTTTGACCGACTGCAGGAACACAGAGCTGGTGCTGACTTGACGGGGGCTTGATTCCTCTGAGTACCAGGCGTAAGGTGAAGTAAGCTTGAATGTCCGATCCTTGTCAGGCAGGCGGGAAGAGCGAAGTCGTTCGTTGCGGGATTCGATGCGATGTGGTGAGATGGGATGGGCTTAGTGCTGGGAAAGTCTGGGCGAGCGAATTGTGGGTTTGGAGAACTTTGCCTGCGTCTTTCAAGATTGCGTTTGTTTGTTTCAACGCTCTCATGAACGTCAGTTTGGGCCCTGACGAGGTGAGGTGGTGGTGAGGTTTTGTAAGTGGCAGCGGGTTAGGGTTTTAGCTGGTCCAAAAAAAAATTAGATATGGTTCATCGGCCCAAATTCAGTGGAGGTTTGACTCAACACAAGGGTTTCGACAGCGGACGAAGTGAAGCACTAGGTGCAATCTCCAATATATATGAATGAAAAATATCCCATGACGTCTCAGGGCCAATTTTGAAGCCATGGACCAAAAGGTTTTGACCCTCTTGACTCACCTCCAACTCGCTTTCCTTGTTGGGTGTTGGTGAGAACCTCACTAACATTTTCCCAGGAAATTTCCGCCTCTCAGCTGCAGCACGACTTTCTGCTGAATCCCATAACAGCATTAACACCGTACCACGATGCTTCCAGTCGGGTCTTTGCGCTTGCGGGGGAGGATGCGTGGCTGAAAGTGTACGATGTCGACAACTGCCAACTGCTCGGTCAACTCAGAATTTTCCGCTCTCAGTCTATCCACGGGATATTTGTCTCGCAGGACGACGACGTTAGAGAGCAGAGGATTCTCATTTGGGGCGGCCAGTCCGTCGCCATCCTCCCTCAAGCAGCACTGCAGGCGCTCGTCGAAGGATGCGTCCCTCCAAGCCCAGAGGAACTCAAGGCCCCAGATTGGATTTACGATGGAATTCTGATGTCCTCGCCAGGATTCGATGGAGCACTCGTCACAGCGCACAACGAAATTGTTTCGATTCTCACTAGCCCGGACGGCGACTTTTCCTTTGGCGCCCTAACCTCCCCGTCAAGACCGATCCTGTACTCTGCAAATCTCACCCAGCTTTCTCCAGATACTATCCTCGTGGCTGGCGGGACAGTCTTTGGAGAGATCATTGTATGGAAATACTACCTCGACTCCGCCAGGCCTTCTCAATGGGAGGTGCTCTTCGTTTTCACCGGCCATGAGGGTTCCATCTTCGGCGTATCCATATCCCCGGAAATCGAGATCACACCTGATACCAAAATCCGCCTTCTTGCGAGCTGCAGTGACGACAGGACGGTCCGTGTTTGGGATATCACCGATCGCTCAGCATCAGCTGTCGAAGGTGGTTCGCACAGTAGAGTGGCGACAACCCACGAAGCGAGAGAGACTGGGTTTGGTGAGAACTCCGAGGCCAAGCCGGCAAATAAAAATGACGCTTCAAAATGCGTGGCGGTTGAGATGGGCCATGTCTCGAGGATATGGCATGTCAAATTCACGGGGCGTTCGGATTACCAGGGAGGCCCAATCGAAATCTTCTCGTTCGGGGAAGACGGCTCGCGACAGAAGTGGGAGTTGAGTCTTGATGTCGCGAAATGGGAGGGGGCAGCCAAGCTCGGTCTGGAGGCGGGCAGCTCATCCTGGCCCCAGCCATCTGGGACACTAAGAAGCTGCGGCGGGATGGTCTGCCACAACGGGAAGAATATTTGGTCTGCAAGCGTCTCCAGAAGGCAGAGGTCACTGCTCATAATGTCTGGTGGCGCAGATGGCAGGATCGTTATTTCTGGAGACACAGAGGACGCCGGGAGCGGGTTAGTTGCTAGCTCACAGGCCCCGGGCTGTGGCGACATCAACACCCGCATCACCTTCGACGAGTTTTTGCGCTTCGCTGCGTCTTCGGCGGAGAGCGAAATTACGCTGCCCCTGACCAAAAAGGTCAAAGAAGGCTTTTATCGCTATGTTTTCTTGTCAGAAGCTACATTACTGGTCACGACAGCCTCGGGAAGGATGTTTATCGGCACATTTGGGGTATCTACTGTGTGGGAAGAGCTCAACGTGCCCGATGCTGTCAGGGAGGATGCTGCATCCTTCCACATGCTAGTGAGTCCTACGCCAGGGACGGCGGTTTTCGGGACCTTGTCTGGAACGATATATCTGCTCAACGAGGCCCAGGAATTCAAAGAGCTGGCCAGGCTTCCAACAAAAATAACAGATATTATTTGTCCAGGCCAGAGTGATCGGAAAGAAAATGGACAATCTCAAACACAGATTCTTTTCCTCACTGCTGTTGGACAAGCCCACACCACGATATTGGAGTACGAGGTTTCCACAGGAAAGGTCCTAGGGTACCTCACAGCGGTGAAGTTTGACAGCGATTATCAACACTATGTTATGACCGCCGCAGCCTATTGCGGTGATTTGCTCATATTCGGATCCCGCGTGGGAACCTTGACGCTTTACGAGCGCATGGACGGCACTTGGTCAAAAGTCGAGAACCGGAAAGACTGCAGGGACAAAGACGCTGTCACCAGCATTGTTCCTCTGCCTGGAAGTTCGACGGCCTTTTTGACAACCTGCAGGGACGGGAAGTACCGGATCTACACTATCGACGGCCGTGACAGCAGACCTACTTTGCATCTCCAACACGAGATTTCCCCGCCCTTGGGGATGATTGAGGGGGCTCGGTTTTCGAAACACGATGGGTCATGGGGGCTAATACTTCACGGCTTCCGGGGGAGCTACTTCGTTGTTTGGAACGAGACATCGCGGCAGGAGTTGGCAGCCATTGAGTGCGGCGGCGCGAATCGACCATACAGTTACATGTCTTACCCTTGTGACCCAGGGAGACTCATGTTTGTTTACACCAAAGTGGCCGTAATGGGCATGTATTCTCAATCTCATCCTACCCTGCGGGTGCTCAAAGAGGGTGCCCATGGCAGGGAAATCCGAGCCGTAGCAGCGTCTGACAGGGGATACATTGCAACTGCTGCAGAGGACACCGCCATCAGGATATGGCAGTACAAAGACAGCGAGAGTTCAATATTCAGAGGCATCAAGTGTCTCGCGGTTATGGAGAAGCACTCGGCTGGGATCCAGGCGCTCAAGTGGCATGGAAATTACCTTCTGAGCAGTGCAGGTAATGAGGAGTTGTTCATCTGGCACGTCACTCGCGTCGAGTCCGACTATGAGGCCCTCGCCGTTGTCTGCGAAGCCGTATACCCCGACCGCACCGCAGATGGCGACTTGCGCATCATGAACCTCGACGTCCATAGCTGGGGCGATGAGCAAGACGAGATGCTTATCTCTCTGGCCCTCTCAAACTCTACAATACGCTCATACTTGTACTCAAAGCAACCCGGTTTCCGTCTCCTCTCTACAGGCCACTACACCGGCGCCTGTCTTACTCAGATACGACATCTCCACACGACTGCCCAGGAGCTACATGTCCTGACTGCCTCAACCGACGGTCACCTGGCTATCTGGTCATCTGCCCAGGCCTCTGATGGTGGGGATTATTCTCACTTCTCCCTCACTGCCGCAACCAAGCTACACCAAAGCACCATCAAATGCATGGACATGTCCTCGTCCTCCTCGCCAGGGCTACTACCCACCCACCGCTACCTGGTCGTAACTGGTGGTGATGATAACGCTCTCGGCTTCCTGTACATCCTCTTCACACCCTCGAGGTCAACCTTCACAATTCTCAATAAGTCACGAGTCAAATCGGCCCATGCAGCTGCTGTCACTGGTCTGGCCGTCCTCCCATCTCACTTTGAACCAAGTGCAGGAGGGCAATTGACAGAGGTAGCTACGGTCAGCAACGACCAGCGAATCAAGGTCTGGGGAATTTCCACAGCAGACGAGGAGGGGAGGATAAGGTTCCAGATGCGCGATGATCGATACAGCTCGGTGGCAGATGCAGGTGACCTTGAGGTCATTGGACCGGGGAGGTTGATGGTTGGGGGAGTTGGCGTTGAGATTTGGGAGTTCTAGAAACCGCAGAGAATTTTAACGAAAATGATGACTCGAAGATTCTGCCATCATTCGGCTTCCATGATAGCCATGTGCGCCGAAGTCTGTCCTTGGTCGCTTTGTGCTGTTCCTGGATCTGGTGCTCCATTCAGGAGCGCAAAAACACAAAAAAGGGGGTGTGTGAAGGCAACCCCGCCCTCTGAGATTGTTTGAATTCGGATCTCCTCACAATGTTGCTATCGGGGGTGCGCTGTGATGAAGGACGTGCAAGGCAACACTAGTCATTCTCTGGAGAATTGAGGAATACAAAAAATCAAAAAATACTGATCGTGGCAGGGATCGAACCTGCGATCCTCTGCGAATATTTCCTGTTACCAGGTTGTAAAGCAGATGTCATAACCACTAGACCACACGACCTTTCCTGATTGGACGTCAGATTCGAAATCACCACCCTTGAGGCTGTGCAGTGCCAAGCTCGTCCCCTCACTGGTGCTGGGTTCTCACCGAAGCTTCAGAAGCTCCAAACCGAACAACCACCCTCAACCGCCCACCATGAACAGACTTAGAACCGCCAATGCGCTCCTGCGCTGCAATGCGGTTGCCCACGGTGCGATACCACGGTTTGTTTCCCTCGATATCTCATTTTGCACAACACCAGAAAGCTAAATCCCAACAGCACCACCAGGTTAGCAGTAGCAACAGCTACACCCCTCCGCCTCCAGCCGACCGCCTCCCGCCCCTTCACCACCTCCCGATCCCTCCTCAAAAAAGACCGCGGCTCCAAAGACGACGCCAAACCCTCCAAAAAAGACAAGCGCGGCAACTCCCCCTCCCCATCAGAATCCTCCTCCTCACCCTCCAAAGAAACAACCCCCAACGACCCCTTCGACTTCTCTGACCTCACTGCCGCCTTCGACAAGCACGAAAAGCGCTACCTCGACATCCTCACCTCGGTCCGCTCCGACGGCGGTTTCAACGTCGACACCATCGGCGCCGTACCCGTGCAGCCAGACCGCAAGTCCCCACAGACCTTTCCGCTGCGCGAGCTCGCCGCCGTAGCGGCGTCGGGGGCGCGGCGGTTTACGATCCTCGCGTTCGACGAGAGCAGTATCAAGCCCATCATGTCTGCGATCCAAAACAGCGAGGCGTTCAACCAGCAGCCGCAGCGCAACGAGGAGAACCCGCTGGAGCTGACGCTGCTGCTGGAGCCGGTGCGGGTGGAGGACCTGACCAAGAAGGCGAAGGAGGCGTGCCAGGCGTGGAGGGAGCGGCTGCGGGATGAGACGCACAAGCGGGAGAAGCTGCACAAGAAGTGGAAGGGGGATAAGACGGTTTCGGCGGATGATGTGGTGAGGTTGAAGGATAAGATGCAGAAACTGCAGGATGAGAGGATGAAGGGGATTGCGGCCAAGGAGAAGCAGGTGTTGGCGAGCATTGCGAAGAAGGGGTGATTTTCACTGCATGGGATGTGTGTTCATGAGCTTCGGCTTCATTTGGGTGTGAATTTCCTTTATGTAAATCTAGATATGTCTTGTACAAGTATGCCTAACAAAATCATGGAAAGGTCGGTAACCGTATTGTTACATTGGCCTAATCAGCGACCTGCTGTGTGCCGTGTCTCTTGGTTTATACACTCTGCGGGGCGTCTCTAAACCGTCTTTTCTTTTGGCGCGGCCGTGGCTGTGGTGTCAACCGGCAGCAGCTCTTGAAGCTTCTTGATGAACTTGGCCGAATCCGATGTCTTGTACGATGTTGACGAGCTGTGGTAGTTGACGATCATCGGAATCGTATCCCTGGCTTCCGCAAAGCCCGGCTTCTCGTACTTTCCCAGCACCACCGAGTCGAGGATCGCCTTCTTTGTCGCATCCTGCGGCCCGTGGATCTTCCACCCCGGCCTGCTGCTCTCCATCCACGCCTTCTCCTCGGGCGTGTTGAAGAACACCGGCTTCTTCTCGTGAAAATACCGCTTCACTGTCTCCCTCGTATCACCCGTCACGCCGGCATCGCTGTTAAAAGCCCTCGCGCCGCCCAGCATCCGCATCGCCTCCATCGCGGATTCGATCTTGGCCATGGCCGTATCCGACGCCACCGCCGGACCGTACCCCAATATCTCCTTCGCCGTCAGCTTCGGCGCATAATCCGTCACTACGCCTTGCTCCACATCATTCATCACCTTCTGCTCCTCTGGAGTCAACACCATCTTCTCCTTCTTCGCTTCGTGCTCATTACCCCTTCTCCTCCTCCTCTTCCCGTCACCATCCTGTTTCCTTTCCCCTCCACGTCCTCGCCCTCTCAGCCCCCTCCCCATCCCGGCCGCCAGCGCAGCGCCCCGTCCCGGTCCCCAGATCCTCCCATTTTCAATCTTGATAAACCTCCCTTCGCCTGCAGCGGCATCTTCAGCGGAAACTCGGGCCCCCTCCCTATTCACAAACATCCCTCCACGGCCTCCGCGTCCTGCAAATCCTCCACGGCCTCCGAGCCCTCCACGAACACGAATGCTCCTCATCGTCACGAGCTTGGACGGATCGATGGCCACTCTGCGGACAGCGCTGCCGAGAGCGCGGGCGTCGACCGGGGAAGGAGGGCCGTGATCAGCGCGCAGCTTGGCGAGCTGCGAGGCGGCGACTTGGGAGCGCTCGCGGCCGTTGGGCTTGCTGTTGCCATTGTCACCGTCGGAAGAGCTCTCGGCTTGGGCGGTCGAGGTGGTGGAGAAGAAGGTGGCGGGTGTCGGTTGGGAGGCCCAGGCGCGGGAGGAGAGGAAGGCGCGCCGCCCGAGGGCGGTAGCCTGGCGGTTCATGTTCTTTGGTGTTGGGTTTGTGATGGCTTGGCGACGCGATGGGGGTCGTGATGTCGCGGCCGGGCAGCACCGGGTGGTGGTGATAGAGTTTGGGATGGCCTCGATCGCGGGTGGTCAAAAAGTTGAGGATTGAAATTGAACGTGGGGTGTGATTGGCTGGTTCGGGGAAAGTGGGGTCGGCAGCGTAGGTGGATGCGACAATGGGGGGTTTGCAGCTAAGGAGGTGTGATTCGATTCTTGTGCCTTAGAGATAATGATGGGAAGTGATTGAAGAGATTTCTCGTTGTCAAATCGTCAGGGACTAAACTGCGGACTCGAATGTCGGTTCTCTATTTTTTGATCATTTTCACTGAGGTGGTGAGTGGTCATGGTCAAAATTGAGGAGAAAGCTACAGTGTTCAGATGGAGAGGAGATGCACCGTTGTTGGACGGGGACATTCTTGCCTGCGGCCTCTTTCAAAGATCGCCTCAAAACGGGTTGCCTCTTCCAAGTCGAACTCTACACACCATTTAAGCTGCCATTACAACCTCGGAAGGTTTGGCAATCTCTTACCTTCAAGCAAAGGCATATAAGCAGAACAGCATACACAGTCTAATACATACGGCCATAGATGGTGGAAAGCTCGGGATCCCGTCCGCTCTCCCATAGATAAGCCACCAATCGCTAGATTAGTAGTTGGGTCGGTGACGACCAGCGAATCCCTGGTGCTGTATGTTTTTTTTCACCTCTTTTCCTCATAACTCATTTCCTCCGCTTCTCTGTGCTCTTGCCTGCGAGCAGCATCATATCGCCGTTCAAAGCACTGCTAGCGATTAACCGTGACCGTTTCTTCTGTCCTGAAGCCTCCGACGATGGAGTTTGCTTCTGGTTTCTCGCCAAGCAGACATGTCAACCGTTCTTGGAAGGGCGCCCAAGGAGCGTCTTCATCTTCGCCAGTTACCGTCAAAGCACCCTGACAAGCTGGGCGTGCTACGATATTGGGTTGCCTTGCCCACATGATATTGACTTGGCCATTTACTTCCGGCAATACAAATATGGTGCCGTATGTACCGTGCTTGCGTGATCCATTTCCCAGGTTAGCAACCCCTGGGCAGCCATCTCGGAGCGCATAGCTGCCGGTCACCGACCATCTCCCCTTAGTTTTGACCTGTATTTGGAAACTCGCCTTTCTCCCAGTTGTGTTGAAGAAGAGATATCCGCCAACTGGAGAGAGGACTCGGGATAAGCAATACCAGCGTGGCGCCTGGTGATGGCAGACCGTCACCGGTCAACTGTTTCCTCCTTGTCTTGTGTGAAAGAAAAGCCAGGTGCGAATTTAAGGAGATGCAATGGGAGCCTCGAACCTTGACGACGACCACGAAGATCTCCGCGGTTTCGAATTCCTGGCAGCACACGCGGAGTTACGCGCCTGCTGGAGAGATCATGCCGCGGAAAACTTTGGTCTCGGCGGGCCGCTTCACTCGCGCGGTTGACGAGGCGCTCCATTCAACGCGTTCCCCACCTCAAGGTGGGCGGGCTGGTCGATTCGAGGTGCAGCGATTCTCGGCGTATAGAGAAGGTGTAAGGTAAATGTACCGCCGTTGAGACCCGTGGAAGGTATTCTCACGCGCGGTCGAGGCAACGGATGTCGTTCAGGTCCTCAGGCCTGACAAGCCAAGATCAGCCCCAGTCCTCACTCACCGACGGCGTATTCAACGTTGGCATTGGAGCGACGCAATCAGACGTCGAAACACATCGCCTAAGAATGAAACCCTAAGGTTTATTTAATTCTTGGGTCACCTCTTCGGTCTTGTTCGGATGGTTGGAATAGGTAGTAGGAAACGAACACACCCTGTGACGGAAGGTACGACCTTGGTGTGGAGTCGACCCTAAGATCGGAAGGAAAGAAGCACATCCGAAACTTGGGTCATACCTTGCTAGCCCCCGCTCCCTCCATCAATTTTTTGGACGATTCAACATCACGTTCTCGAAGCTTGGCGCAGCATTTTCTCCGATTTGTTCTTGCGCAAGGTTGCGTTGCATTCACCATTCATGGCCACGGCCTGGCAAGCCTCAAAAACAACAGTCAACGCCAAAGCAGACGACGTTTTTCACAATGTACCCGAACTGACAAGAAACTTACCATATCGACTCACACTGGTCGATCCCGCTCGCTAGCAACTGCCTACCGCTGCTCCTGAGATTCACTGGAACCGGGTGGGTTGAAACATTGCAGCAGTCATGCGGTCGTCTCCCGTGTTGCCCATCTCCACCAGGGCCGGTGGCATCATGTTCAGCAGACAAGACCGGATGCATCACGGCTTCATGCTCGGGTTCACGGGATAGACATGATGAGCACTCATCAGCATCCACCTCGGTACCCTGATTGACATCTCCGTGCCCGAGGATTTCCCGTTCTTCACTCCTTCGGCTCATCACTCCTTGATAGATCCAACGCCGAAGCTACCCCGGCCGGAGATTAGTTCTGTTTCTATCCCGCCAGCTGCATTCTGCGCACTCATACTCGTACATTGAGATGCAGAATGGAAAACAAAAAAAACTGAGCAAAGCATGCCTGAGCTAAGGCCGAGATCAGATAAGGCATTCATAGCCCGTGGGGATCACGCCGCCGAGCGATGA